CTGGGGGAGAGGCCGAAGCGGGCGACCTCCCTCTCCCCGCGCTTCACCTACAGCCCTCCTCGCCGCCCCTCACCCCACCCCTTTGGTGCACACCTCCCCACACGTACACACGCGCGCAGGCACCCGCGCGCACACACACACGCACACCCTGAGTGGGTGTGATCTAAGAGCTGAGATGCGCTCTCTCGCCCAGAGTTCACACTCGGCCTCAACAAAACCCTCAAAGCAGGCAGGCACCCCTTTGGTCTCCGCATTCAGTAGAACTTCCTACAAAACTACTAAACACTCAGCTCTGGAATTAGAAAACGCTGGCTATTTAGGATGTCGAGTTCAGAGAAATAATGCTAAGGATTATGAATTCTAAATGCTGTATATTACACCTCTGTTTTTCTGCCTAGTAGAGTAGAAAGAATCTTTGAAACCCATAAATAATCGAAAAAGTACTTTCGATCTACTCCTCCAACTGTAATCCTTACAAGAGTGGGTAACTAATTTAAGATTTGTCCCTTTTTCTTCCCCTACGGAAGTAAGAAGTTTTTTTGTTTGTTTGTTTTTTGTTTTTTTAACCCTTTTCAGTATTCCAAAATGGATAGCACAAGGTGGAAAAAAGTCCAGGCCTAATTAATAAACTGGATCATTAGTGGAAATCATGGGCAGTTTCATTAGCATAACCGTATTTATCCTCAAAACTGTTTCCAAAACAACAATTATATTTGAGCCAGAACTTAATTATGTGTTGATCTATCTTTATTTTACAGGAAGTATTACTCACCCAGACACTGGTGTGTTTTAGTTCCCTAAAGCCAATGAAAACATTTTTGGGAAGCCAGCCCTTGTTTTTTTTCTCCTGAGAGGGAATTCAATTTACACATTTATGTAATAGCACGGAGCTGTAAAGTGTGTAGAATTTTATTTTTTAATCTCGAATTTGTTATTGGGTTGTTCTAAAATATTTTCCAAATCAAATGCAAATGATACAAACTAAGAAAGCAGTGTAATGTCAAAGAACATTTCCATCATATATGTGTGTCTGATGCTCAGTTGCAAGCGAAGGTATGAATTCGATTTCTAAACGCCATGTCATCTATCGGTCTGACCCGAGAATGGAAAATTCTTATTTTGAAGATTAAATGCTATTCGAGGATTCTTTTCTTTTTTATCTCAGCTAAGTGATTTCCTGGTAACTGCTGTTTTCTCCAAATGATACTTTAAGTGCTTATTGTTTTAAAGACAGAGACAAGAAACCTACTTTTGTGTGCCTTTTGAGTGTGCCAACTGATGGCCAAGCCACTATTCTTTCCAGAGATATAAAAGTAATCTGCGTTTTCCAGGTGACAACAGGCTAAAACTAGAGTATCAATAATGGATGCCAAAAAGTATATTCCCACAGCGTCTATTGGAATAAAACCCCTCAAAGTCCTCTTACAGTTTTGGGAACCCCTCCTCACACACATTTTTCACTCGTATTCTGAGAACTTGTTCTTCCAGTGTTTACCATTTTATTCCTTATCCCTTAGGTTCCAGCTTACTGGAAGTGGCTGTCCTCTACACCAAACCCATTAGAAGTCCCTGCTGGGACACCTGATGGTCGCCCATATCTCTGTTGGTTAAAACTGCAGCCCTTTATTCTTCACTATAGAATTCATCGGGCCTTTGTGAAAATAGAATAATATGTGGTTCCCTATTTCCACCCTCCAGATTGGCCCAAACTTGCCTGAATCCTTGACCCACCACCCCTGGCATTCAATCTAGCGCTCATGGGACTCCAGCAGCATGGAAATGAATTAAATTGAAAAGTTAACATGGTGGTTCCACCAGGAATTTTCTCTGAAGTGCATGAAGCACCAGTAATGATTGTGCCAATGGGATTAATTTTTTTAAAGAAGGATTGGTTGAAAATATTTTATTAACTAATATTTAATATTTTAGCAAAAATTCCATTTATGTACCACAAACTTAATATTCTCAAAACTCAAACCATCTGCTCCATCTCAGGTTGTATATAACTGTTGATACAACGTAGGTACTATCACTAATATCCTGCTCCTACATCAAAGCCTCAAAATGTCTTAATCTGCAGTGAATTGTGTACCTTCCCTAAAATCCAGACTTCAGTATCAGAAAACTATGTCAGTTTTAGAATGCAGTTTTTTCTATTATTGCCTTTCTTATTCTGGCATTAAAACATGACTTGTTTTTGGCTCCCTTGAATTTTTTTTATCATTTTTATTAATGCATAATATTTGAACATATTTGTGAGATATGCATGATATTTTGATACATGTGTACGATGTGTAATGATCAAATAAAGGTACACAGGAATTCATCACCTTGAACAGTTATTATTTCTTTGCATTGGAAACATTTCAAATATTCTCTTCTAGCTATTTTGAAATATACAATATATAGCTATAGTCAGCCTACTGTGCTATTGAACACGAACTTAGTCCTTTTATCTAACTATATGTTTGTATACATATAACCAACTTCTCTTCATCTGCCCCTATGTTTCCAGCCTCTGGGAACTATCATTCTCCTCTCTATTTTCATGAGATCAACTTTTTAAACTCCCATATATCAAGAACATGTGATATTTGTCTTTCTGCGCCTGCCTTATTTCATTTAACATAATGATCTCCAGTGCCATCCATGTTGCTGTAAATGACAAAATTTCATTTTTATGGCTAAATAGTATTTTATTGAATATACATACCATATTTTCTTTATCCATTCATCTGTTGATATACACTTAGTTTGATTCCATATCAACCTATTGTGAATAGTGCTGTAATAAATACAGGAGTGCAGATGTCACTTTGATTTATTTCCTTTCCTGTTACTGGATAAATACCCAGTAATGAGATTTCTGGATCATATGGTAGTTCTATTTTTAGTTTTTTGAGAAACTTCCATACTATTTTCTATAATGGCTGTACATATTTACATTCCCATCAAGAGTGTATAAAACTTCCTTCTTCTATGCATCCTGGCCACCATTTGTTATTTTTTGTCTTTTTGATAATAGTCATTCTAACTGCGGTAAGATGATATTTCATTGTGGTTTTGATTTGCATTTCTCTGATGATTGATGATGCTGGGCATTTTAAAAATAAACTTGTTAGCCATTTGTATGACTTCTTTTGAGAAAGAAAGTCTGTGTAAAAGAAAGTCTTTTAAGTTGATTTGTGTGATCAACTGTGTGAGTGATAGGTGTCTAGTTTCATTCTTCTGCATATGGATTTTCAGTTTTCTCAGCATCATTTATTGAAGAGAATGTCTTTTCCCCAATCTTTATTCTTGGCACCTTTGTTGGAAATTAGTTGGCCAGAAATATGTGGACTTAATATTTCTGGAATCTCTATTCTGTTTCATTGGTCTATGAGTCTGTCTGTTTTTATACAGACTTTCTTTTATACAAACAAGAAATGTGTATTAATTTCCTTTGCCCAATTTTTAGTGCAATTATTATATACATTATACTGTTGAGTTTTTTGAGTTCCTTGTATATTCTGGATATTAGTCCCTTGTGGGATGACTAGTTTGCAAATATTTCCTCCCATTCTGCAGTTTGTGTCTTTGCTCTCTTGATTGTTTCCTTTGCTGTGCAGAAGTCTTTTAGTTTGCTGTAATCCCATTTGTCTATTTTCCCCTTTATTGCCTGTGTTTTTGCAGTCTTAGTCATGAAATTATTGCCTAGACCAATCTCCTAGAGCATTTCCCTTATGGCTTCTTGTAATAGTTTTATAATTTCAGGATTTGCATTTGTATTTAATCCTTTTTGAGTTGATTTTTGTATATAGTGAGTGATAGGGACCTAGTTTTATTATTCTGTATATGGATTTTCAGTTTTCTCAGCACCATTTATTAAAGAGGGTGTCCTTTCCACAGTGTTTTTGCTTAGTGCCTTTGTTGAAAACCCAGTCAGCTGTAAATATGGGGACTTATTTCTGGATCTCTATTTTGCTTCATTGGTCTAGAGTCTGTGTTTATAACACTACCATGCTGGTTTGTTTACTATGGCATTGTAATATAATTTGAAGTCAGGT